TTACGCACAGTCCTTCATAGGGGTGGTTGTCAAAATTATGCTCCCTTTTTGGATCCCTATTATAATGCGGCACCTAAAATTTGGGGTACCCCAAAAGGGATCATAATTGTGACAACCACCCATCGGGATTATAGTACCCTCTCTTCCAACCCCTATTAATAAGGACTGTTAGTAGAAGGGGGAGAAAATTCCCAGAGTACCGGGCTGGGTGGGGGGATGGGCGCTCGCGCAAACCCCCAAGCTCCCTTGAACAGCGGGGGACATCGATCGGGAGTTTGTGGTGAATACTGTAGACCCCATACCCGCATCCCTCAACCCTGAACCCTGAACCCTGAACCCTGAACCCTGAACCCTGAACCCTGAACCCTAAACCCTAAACCCTAAACCCTAAACCCTAAACCCTAAGCCTAAACCCTAAACCCTAAACCCTAAACCCTAAACCCTAAACCCTAAACCCTAAACCCTAAACCCTCCACAAATCCCTCGAAAGCCTTATAGATCCAAGCTTGCGCTTGTTCGCTCTCCGTGCCTGGAACATGGGCACGCTTGACAACTTTCTCGGAGAAACTTACAAAATCCTTGATCCCTGAATTTAACACCCTTTGAAAACCGCCTATATCTTCACATATACATGCATATATACATGCATTTACTTCTTCATGTGTTTTTCTACTGCATATTGGTAATCATGCCTATATATGGGCGTTCATGTATGCAGATTGTTTGCTCAATTCTACATGTCCCTGTGCTACCTTGGGCCCTAAAGGATACTATGCTACTACAGGCAACTAGGGTTGAGGCTTCATGACCCTAAACCCCAAACGCAGAGCTAAAAGCCCGGTCCTCCACCACCGTCTTCGCCTTCTCGACGAAGAAGTTTCGATCAACTGGCGCCCTGCCATGGCTCGAGGGTTTAGCGTTTAGGGTTAAGGGTTTAGGGTTTCGGGTTTACCCAGGACATCCAGTGACTGATACTTCTCCACTTCTCCAGTCCTTTCGAGGGTTCTAGTCAAACCTAAGAGATTCGGCCCTGAAACTCTCTCAGGAAGCATTGTGGCTTGAAAGGGCTGTATGGTGAGCTTGCTCGAAGGGCTCGCTGGTATCCCCAAACCCTGAAACCCTAAACCCTTTAAACCCTAAATCTTCTCAACCCTAATCCCTAAACCCTAAACCCTAAACCCTAAACCCTAAACCCTAAACCCTAAACCCTGCGACGCAGAGCTCCGAGGCCTGAAAGCGTCGAACTTGGTCGCTAAGTGGCGGCCACAGGACACCTTAGGAACGTCCAAGGGTTTAGGGTTTAGGGTTTAGGGTTTCGGGTGGAGGGTTTCGGGTTTCGGGTTTAGGGCTTCGGGCTTAGGGTTTAGGGTTTTGGGTCCGTAGGGTCTGTAGGGTTTGGGGTTTACAGTAGAACCCCGAAATAGTACCCAACACCCTTGGGTCATTCTTAGGAACCCTTAAGAGGATCTGCTTTTTGGATCCTCCCAGGGGTCTGGGAGGGTGCGGGGCTTCGGGTGTAGGTAGGGATGTTCCCCCTTGCATAGAGACACCACAAGGTTGAAGTTATAAAGTCCTCCCTTGAAAGGTCTGCGAAGTCAGTAGGAGTTTAGGGATTCACAGGGTTCAAGTCCTCCCTTGATTGAGTGGATCTGAAGGGAATTTAGGGTTTAGGCGAGGCTGCCCAGTAACCTAGGCTTTAAAAGGGTGCCCTTTTTGGCTTAAAGGGGTTTTATCAGGGACCCTAAACCACCCAAAAAAGGGAATAAGGGTACTACTGGGCATCCTAGTAGGGCTCAGGGTTGAACCTCTCCCCAAAAACCCCAAACTCTAAAGCGCTTGCATCCCATCAAGGCCTCCAGCATTCCAGAGAACCTAAAACCCTAAACCCTAAACCCTAAACCCTAAACCCTAAACCCTAAACCCTAAACCCTAAACCCTAACCCTAAACCCTAAATTGCTGCTGTTAGGATTGGTTAGTTGTGAAGCAGGTATGAGAGCCAGTGAGTCGGGTAGCAGCTACTGAGACTGGCCATCGCTTCTGACAACCCTACACCCTAAACCCTAAACTCTAAACCCTAAACCATAAACCTGTAGGGCGTAGAAATTTCTGAGCCGCTGACGACTTTCCCATTGGCTTTCTGCTTCCTCTCCTGTCGCGCACCGCTGCTGAGGGTGGTATGCAGAGAAGCGAGCAAGCCCTAAACCCTAAACCCTAAACCCTAAACCCTAAACCCTGAACCCTAAACCCTAAACCCTAAACCCTAAACCTCAGAGTCCCTAAAGGCCTTAACTTGGGACGTTCCCTCTTATACTAACAGTACTTAATCGGGATTCTCATAGGGTGTACTAGAATACCGAGTAAGGACTGTTAGTATAAGGGCATCCAAAATAGGTTACCTACCCAGTCCCTAAACCCTAAACCCTCAACCCTGAACCCTAAGCCCTAAACCCTAAACCCTAAACTTAAACCCTCAACCCTGAACCCTGAACCCTGAACCCTAAACCCTAAACCCTAAACTTAAACCCTGAACCCCGAACCCTGAACCCTAAACCCCAAACCCTAAACCCTAAACCCTAAACCCTAAACCCTCACCTGGATGAGAAAGTGGCCCCTGGCATGGTTGTGGCCTCGGCGAGGCGCGGAACGCAGAGACTTTGGGGTTTCTGAACATAAGGGTACCGCCAATATAGTCCGCTTAGGGTTTAGGGTTTAGGGTTTAGGGTTTAGGGTTTAGGGTTTAGGTTTAGGGATTAGGGATTAGGGATTAGGGCTAGTATAGTGCCCAGATAGTAGAGATAGTATGGTTCCGTTATAATAAGGACGCCAATAAGGTACCGCCGCGCCCCCAATGTCGGAAACCCCCATTTCGGATTTCGGCGTGGCGGTTTGGTGCAGAAATAAGGGATAGGGTACAAGGGTCTAGGGTCTAGGGTTAGTTTCTGTTGTACTGGCAATGACCTACACGCAGCGAAAGCAGTGCTGTACTTGGAGGTTCACGGATACTTCTAACCTAAATGATAATCAGTCTACTTATAACCTTCAGTACTCAGAGGACTTGGGAGACTTAGGGGGGCTTGTAAGCACACTTATGATGGAGGATAGAAGTACCCCGAACCTCCAAGTACGCTCTGCCTCAAGCCTTTGGTTTAGGGTTTAGGGTTTAGGGTTTAGGATTTAGGGTTTAGGGTTTAGGGTTTAGGGGGTTCCTGAAGGCCCTCCAAACATACCCTAGCCCAGAATTCTGGGAGGATCCAAAAAGCAGAGCCCTTAAGGGTTCCGAAGAATGACCCAATAGGTAGATCCCTATGACTGGCTTGATAGTAGTAGAGGGTACTATTTGAGGCTCTACTTTTCGGATCCTTGCGTGGAGGGACTAGGCTCTATCCCGAATTGGGGGTTCACCTAGGAATCGGGTCTGCTCTTGGCATGCCTATACAGCGTCATCGCACCCGCAAACCGGGCACCCCTTAAAAATGGTCGCCTGAATCCTATAAGCCCCAAGACCTAAACTCTGCACTCTAAAGGGTGAGTGTGCTTGTGGCTTTGAGTACGAACAGGGAAGAGGCTGCATGATGGTGTCTTTGCCTTCTGGTCCCTTGTTTAGTTTTTCTTGATGGCATACGGAGCCTGCACTTAGGGTACCCAGAAGGACCATCATAACGAAGGGAACTGCCCCGATACAATTCAGGAACGAGTCTAGGGCCAATTCTCAGAGTGTCCCGGGCTCCCCAATGCTTCGGTGCCGGAACCTTACTTGGAGGTTCATGGGTACGTATAACCCCTAAACCCTATACACCCTAAGCCCTAAACCCACTTACACGTCTACTTATCACCAACTTCGTGGACTCAGGGGTCTTACAAGTAAACTGCAGGTCTGGTTGAGTTATAAGTGCTCTGAACCTCCGAGTAAGCCCGAACCTTCAACCGAGAGTTGTATGCGCAGCTCCTACAGAAACAGCCGTTGCTTTCGTGAAAAAAAATGGAAGCGTACCTTCATAACTTCATAACTTAATTGGGTCCATGATTGGGGTGTGTCGGTTCAGGCTTTGGGGCCGGGGTTTAGGGAAATTGTGAATTGCAGGCCAAGGATCTGTTTGTCAGCTTGATCTGGAGTACATGAACGACACGCATGAGGATGGGAAGCCCATCCACGCGTCCATAATGCCTGGGGCAGATAGGGGCAGATAGTAAGAAGGGAGGATCTTGCCCAAATCCCCAAACCCTAAAGGCCCCAAACTCTAAATCATAAACCCCATTACAGACGGCAAGAGGTTTCCTCTGGGGGGCTGCTGTTTTCTGTGCTCGAGATTCCCAAACCCGGGCCACAAGCAAACAACGAAAAAACGGCTCTTTCGTCAAAGTGTTCCATGAAAAGGTGCCTTGGGCTTTACAGGGTATATATTACAAGGGGGGTACATCAGGGGTATTTTAGGGTTCCCCGATTAGGGTGCTGAACTTTCGATTGCAAAGTAGGCTCTACTGGCCATGGCACTGAGCGCATTCACATGCATCCAACTACCTCATGGAAGATATACATGAAAGGGTCAGAAGCGTGAGTCCATCCTAGACCAGAGAGACACACACACACACACGAAAAACGCTAATTATACTTATCATGGCTCAGGCAGATGAGGAGTGGAGGGATGCTGGGGTGTGGGGTTTAGGTGTACACGGTTTGCTGCTTTGCAAATGCCCAATCCCTGTGCACCTCACCACAAAGCATTAAATCCCCAAACCGGGTTCCCCTCGAAAGCTCGACAGAAGCGTCGGCCGTAAACCCAATAGAAACTCTGAATCGTCCTAAACCTGCCTCCAAGCTCGTCAAAGGTCGTTGGGATAACGGTGCCGTTTGTTGGATTTGTTTTTGTTCGGGGTGGGTGGGTGGGGGGAGTCTTCCCCTTTGGGGCTTCCTTACATGCCTTTTAGGGACCTTGTAGCCTTTGGATAAACAACTCTTAAACCCTAAAATCCCTAAAAGCCCTTCACCAGGGCCCCCTGCTCCAGGTGTGTCTTCTCTGCTTCAACCTCGTAGCTCGCGCATGTGCTCTTGCTGAGGGTTTACTTGAAGGTTCACTAGGCTACTTATAAGTAGGGTAAGAAGTGCCTTAGATGCAGTTCTAACTGTATAGTTATCCTACGCAGAGGTACCCCTGAACCTCCAAGTAGGTCTTTTTTGTATGTAGGCCCGGGGACCGAGTCTCCCAGCAGATTATGAACCCCGATGTAAGCCCAAGCCCTACTTAGGGTTTAGGGTTTAGGGTTTAGGGTTTAGGGTTTAGGGTTTAGGGTTTAGGGAAGCCATGTTGCAAGACTAATGGGCTCCCCGAACGCGTGCGACGGGTTTGGGGACGAGGCCTTTAGGGCTTTTAGGGCTCGTATTGGCTCCCAAAGCTCACGGCTCACACCTACTTCTGAGGGCGATGCGCGTATTCGCTGTTCTCATTCGCTCTCAACCCCGTGCTTTCCCAACCTTTCCTGCGGCCCCGAAGCCCAAGACCAGAAACACCACCAGAAGCTTGACACCCCGCAAGCCCGCAAAAACCCAAAAGCCCCCCCCCCCCCCCAACAAACACCCCCTGCCCACAAAAAGAAGGGATGGATGTGGAGACTCCACTCAACCCTCAACCCAAGCCCTGAAGCAAGGTATCTACTGTTACAACCCGATTTAAAGTATTTATAACCCTACGGTGATATGTAGAGGAACTATGGCTATGGCTATAACCCTACTAAGGGTACCCATAACCCTTCGTATAAGTACCCATGAACCTTCAAGTAGCCCTAAACCCGAAACCCTAAACCCTGAACGCTAAACCCTAAACGCTAAAACCTCCAGAAGAGGAGTCCTCCTTCCAGAGCTCGGCGACGGATTTCAGCTGACCGGTACCTGAAGCTGCAGCCGCCCCTAACAACAGCAACATGGTTTAGGGTTTAGGGTTTATTTAGGGTTTAGGGTTTCGGGTTTCAAGGGGTATGACAAGGAGGGGTCCCTAGAACATGATTCCCTACATAACACTTATACATATATATATATATATATATGTACCTCATACAGTCCCTATATGCCTACGTAGCCCCTACAGAAGCCCCAAAGAACCCCTGAGGTCCCTTGTAAGGGTCCCTCCTGTCGTTCCTTGATCAACGAACGGAAAGGAACTACAGCCCATGAGGTTGGGCCTTGTTCGGGTTGAATATCATTTGGAGAATACCCACAGGTAACCCTAAACCCTAAACCTAAACCCTAAACCTTATAAACCCTAAACCCTAAACCCTAAACCCTAAACCCTAAACCTAGGTACGCCTGATTCTAGGTCCCCGGGGTGCTGAGAACGGCCTCTCACTAAGTAGTCAGGCTGGACAAGGGAACCCCTAAAAATCAAAACTTGTTCAAGCCCGTTTTTGGGTTTGGGTTTTAGTCTTTAGGGCTACAGGGCTTAGGGGTAGATGTGAGGGGGCGTGCCAGGGTTTTCAAGGATTGCAGGACGCTCTCTGCTTACCCAGAATTTTTCCAGCCCGAACCTGTAACCCTACTCGGAGGTTCATTAGGGCACTTAGAAGTGGGGTTATAGAGTAACTGTGGTCATAACCTGACTTAGGGTACTAATAACTCTACCCGTGAACCTTCGACTGTAGGGTTCGAGTACCCATGAACCTTCAAGTAGAGGGGCTTACCCGAAGTGCTTGGCAGCCGAGTATCCATATCCAAAAACTTGGGGGTGGGTAACTTTATACGGGAACCTTGAACCAAAAAAAGGGAAAAGGCTACTACGGGGCTTAGCCGACATGCTTGACATGAAGTCCCAGGAAGGCTGTGTGGGCTGCGGGTGTCTGCGGGCCCTAAGCCCCCCTAGACCCCAAGTCTTAAACCCCAAACCCCAAACCCTAAACCCTAAACCCTCAACCCTAAACCCTGAACCCTGAAACCCTAAACCCTAAACCCTGAACCCTGAAACCCTAAACCCTAAACCCTGAACCCTGAAACCCTAAGAGCCAGGCCGTAGCTGTGCAAGTCGATGTCGAACTGGGCCAGCCAGTCCTGAGGCAAGCAGGGATGAGGGATCCCTCAAACCCTAAACCCTAAACCCTAAACCCCAAACCCCAAACCCCAAACCCAAAACCCTAAACCCTAAAACCCCAAGTACCCTCAAGAACCTTCTCAACCCTTCTCCAGAATGCATTGGCTCAGGCCCCCCTCCCCCCCCCCCCCCCCCCCCCCCCCCACAAAGCGCGGTCCCTCAGTTGCTCCGGGCTGGTGAAGGTGCCTTTGGTGATGCGCTCCTGGTGGCAAAAAAGGTACGCGACAACGATAAGAAAAACGACAGAAATAGTGAGGGGTTTAGGGTTTAGGGTTTAGGGTTTCGGGTTTAGGATTAAGGGTTTAGGGTGTAAGGAATTATGGGCCCCCTTCCCTACGTCATAGTTCAGAGCGCCGAACTCTGCTCAGGGATGAATGCGTTCTGGTTCTGGGGCATCGGGATGTGTAGAGCGCATCTGGTCAGTTCTCGACACGAGGGTCCTTGCATGTAGGGGCCCGTATCCGAAACCCTAAATCACCCAAACCCTAAACCCTAACACCCCCCCCCCCCAAAAAAAAAAAAAAAAAAGAAGAAACACTACCCCCCCCCCCCCCCCCCCAAAAAAAAAAAAAAAACGACTCTGATCCCAAAACCCTGACCTCAAGCACAGCACCCGTTCAAGGCTTCTTGGTAGCCCAGTAACCAGTCTTATAACAAGGGTACCGTTTTTGAGGGCCAAGTAATTTCACATGACCTTACTGAAAAGTACCCCGAAACCCTGAGCCCTGAACCCTAAACCGTTTTTTTCCTTGAAAGGTTCTGGGGGTGTGGCGGGGGCCTGTTGGTTTGTTTGGTTGATTTTTGGAGAGGTTGGTGGGCTTCGGCGTCCTTAGGGCTTCAGGGTTTTAAGGTTTAGGGCTTGGGGTTGAGGGTTTCGGGGTTTAGGGGGTTTGGGTTTGGGGCTTCGGGTTGAGGGTTTAGGGCTTCAGATGCAGGGTTTTACAGGGCTTGAGGGCTTTTGGGGGCTCGGTGGGGATTTATGGCTTTGGCTTCAACCTCGTGATTTGGTATCTTTCTTGTTTTTTTGGGGGGCGGGGGGTTAGGGTTTAGTGCTTCGGGTTTTTAAGGTTTGGGGTTTAGGGTTTGGGGGTGCGGGGTGGGGCTGGGGGGGGCGGTTGGGCATTAGCACTTCAGGGATTTCCTCTTGCGGCTTTCGGGTCTGCGTAGGGCTAGGGGCTTTGGTGGGGGGGCTTAGGGTTTAAGTGTAGGGTTTAGGGTTTAGGGTTTTAGGGTTTTAGGGTTTTAGGGTTTAGGGTTTAGGGTTTAGGGTTTAGGGTTTAGGGATATTGGGGTTTGGGACTGTGGACTCGCCGAGGTTTAGGGCTGCGGGCTTATGAACCCTAGATCAATTCTGCCTCTTTGGCAGCCCAGGAACCATGCTATAAATGGTAGCCCAGTAACCATGTTATAATAAGGGCAACCTGTTTTGGCTTCCCTAAACCCTAAACCCTAAACCCTAAACCCTAAACCCTTGGCTTGTGTTTTATATAAGGGACCCTTGAGAACCCAAAAAGGGAAAGGCGTACCACTGGGCTACCAAGCAAATAAGTCGAGGCTTCTACTTGGGTTGGATTTTGGGATTAAGTATTGTTAACGTATGAGTCTGAGAAATTCTAGTTGTTGGGTTTTAACTGGTATCTTTCTCGAATGATTTCGATTATTTTTCGGGGTCATCAGATTTCATTGTTTTTATCTACTCTATCTTTAGGCTCCTATAGCTAACTTCACGCCTTTCGCGAAGTCAATTCGGTGTTGAGTCCGTTTCCGTGGTTCACCCTAAACCCCAAACCCTAAACCCTAAACCCAAAACCCTAACCCCTAACCCCTAAACCCTAAACCCCAAACCCTAAACCGCCCGAATCATCGCCAAGGTAGCCACTCAGCAGAGCAGCGATTGTCTTCTGCAAGGATTATGTACGAGCCGCAGTCAGCTTTCGTCTTGCATTCTGCCAGGGGTTTAGGGTTTTTTTTTTTTAACCGGAATCACCTGTGCGCAGCAATAATGCTGTCCGGTCCGTGAAACTGTGTTGCTTAATGGCCTTTCCCCACTCAGACTGGTAGAACATAATGACGAGCATCACCAAATCTTTCCACCCATGGTCTGCATCACCACCACCACTACTTGCACCCCCCCTCAAACTTCCATTGACAACGTCGGTGCAGGAGACGTCCCCGACGTGGTAGGAGACGCCCCCGATGTGGTAGAAGACAACCCAGTGGGTTTAGGGTTTAGGGCCGAGGGTTTAGGGTTTAGGGTTTAGGGTTTAGGGTTACCAGGACAAGTCGCGCCCGCCGCTCCCTTCAAGCTTGTCGCAGATGAAGACAGCCAGCTCCGACGAACGCAGGAATACTCGCAAAGCAGGATGGTCCCTTGGGTTTAGGGTTTAGGGTTAGGGTTTAGGGTTTAGCGTTTAGGGGATGAGGTGTCCACGGCTTTAGTTCAGGGTTTTGGGCTTTCGGTGCCCGACTTTTCGGGCGTTAGGGCTGTAGCATCCCTAAACCCTATAAACTTCAAACCTAGACCCTACAACCCCATAAGCCTCTAACACCTAAACGCTGCCCAAAACAAGAGGGCCCCCTAAACCCTAAACCCTGAACCCTGAACCCTAAACCCAGCCTTGAGTACACTTCCTTCGAAGAGGTAGCGCTGAATTGACTCAAACTTCATCCACACCTTTGATTCGGGTTGGCGAGTGAGGGTTTAGGGTTTAGGGTTGAGGGTTGAGGGTTTAAGATGTGTAGGGTGTAGAGTAAACTCCAGAAAGTTCGAACATGGTTTAAGGGTGATTAGAACTGGGATTGCCTTTAGCATACCTTTTGGGGTAAGGGTATAAGGATGTTCCTACTTTTTGAGTTTACTGTAGGGTTTGGGGCATAGAGTTAGGAGGTTTACTTTAAGGTTTATCAATCAGGGTTGCAGCTAGCTAATATGTTTGCAGAAATTGCAAGAACTGTGACTCCTGTTGTTTATGTGTGTTTGTTTATTCATTCATATACTCTGATGTGTCGTCTTGCTTTTGTGCATTTTTCGTGTGTGTGTGTGTCTTAGGAGGGTTGGTGCTGGCGTGAGGGGAGGTGATGGTTTGTTGTTGAGGATTGGGCCGGGGGGGGGGGGTGTCACACGAGCCTCAAGCCGAACTTCAACAAGCACGGGAAGCTCCTAAAATCAAGCGATGCAGGTGCCTCTAACACCGAAAATAAGGGACCCCTAATAGAGCCCCAACTAGTAGGATTCACTTGTAGTAAGGACCCCAAGAAGGTACCCCGAATTTCGGAAAACCTCCACATAAATAAGACATTGAAGGCCACGCTCCCGGCTCACAAATTCCTCTGCCGTCTCCGGCTTAGCATTCGGTGTCGGGGATCAGGGTTCAGGGTCTGCAAGTTTCAGAGGTCTGCTTGGAGGTTGTTCATCAGGGTAGTTATGAGTAGGATTCTAAGTAGGGCAAGTATGGCTATAACCTAATTTAGGGGACGTACGACCCTACTTACAAGTGCCCTAATGAACCTCCACATGAATGCTTCTGGGTTGGAGCTTTTCGCCAAGCCCCTGGCCCAAGCATGGATGTACTTCAGCTTCCTGTGGCCCGCCTGGCAGAGATATGCAGAGATCTGGAAACCCATGCATTGGGATGTTGCCCCTTCTAGTCCTTAAAAACAAATATAAGAAATCACGATAATCACTATTGAAGGACAGCTATTATAAGGAGGAACATCCCAACCCACGCCTTCTGACAAGGTGTCTGGTGACTGTGGGCGAATCATGCCCAACTACGATTGTTGAAATGCAGTGGAACGCAGCACCCAAATCAAAGCCATGGGCAAATAACATCTCTCTCACCACGTAACATTCGCCTGGGAGTACGTGGCTGGAATTCAGACCCGGACTGAGCTGACAAAACAGCCAAGGGGTTTAGTCTAGGGTTTAGGGTTAAGGGTTAAGAGGTTAGGGGTTCAGGGTTCAGGGTTAAGGGTTAAGGGTTTAGGGTTCAGGGTTCAGGGTTAAGGGTTTCGGGTTTAGGGTTTAGGCTTCCTTGAGCACTCAGAAGATCGGAGCCAAGCACTTGCAACGTAAGCTGTCTGGCCTACAGACCGATTAACCTGTTTCTTGGTAGGGAATGGGGGAACGAGGTACCCTACATACTCCCTTAAAGGGTATATATAGGGGCACATAGGGTACCCCATTTCCTCATTCCCTACTAAGAACCAGCCAGGTAAGTTGAGAGAGGGATACAGGGAGACAGGGAAACAGGGAGAGAAAGTACTGGTAAACAGGCACACTTGAGAAGAAACAACGGGAATACAAGAAGCACCCACACATACATATCCCATCCCGACAGTGAAGAGAGAAAGAGAGAGAGGGAGAGAAAGAGCGAGCGAGCGAGCGAGAGAGAAAGACAAATAGAAAGGAAGAAAGCTAGCAAAAGAAAGAAAGCAACAAAGCAACAAAGAAGCACACAATAAGAAAGAAAGCACGAAACAGACGCAAGAGACTGACCCATCCTCATAGGACCCGTGCAATTCTTGCAAGCCCTGAAGCTCGAAGCACGAACTCACCATCCAACACCCTCTCAAATCGGTTTAGGGTTTAGGGTTTAGGGTTTAGGGTTTAGGGTTTAGGGTTTAGGGTTTAGGGTTTAGGGTTTAGGGTACTGCCCTCGTTGCCCTCGCCAGAAACCACAAACACCAGCCTTAATCCTTAGTCACTTACACAGGCAACTACATCGCAACACACTAGGACACTCAACTTAGGCATAACCCCACACCCCCAACCCTAAACCCTTCTGGCTATTGGCAAAGTTTGCCGCCAGCCGAACTTTGCTGAGGTTTTCGGCTCAGGTTGCGCAGGCATGCCGAACTGAAGGCTGTCACTATCAGGATCAGGGTTTAGGGTTTAGGGCTTAGGGTCCCTCATCTTAGGGGTCTCGGGCTTTAGGGTGAAGTAGGGCCCAGTAGGGCATTAAGGCTTAGGGCGCAAGCAGCCTAAATCCCACAAGCTGAACCTTGACACTTTGAAAGCAGATTCCTGGATCTCAAACAGCATACCTCACTCGATCTCTGCTTCTCCCAGGCCTAGACACCTCACTCTGCACAACGCACCTCAACCCAGAACTATAGATTCCCGAAGTTACCGGATGAAGAAATGACGACCACATTGGCTTGTGCTTATAGAGACCCTAATCGGCCGCCTCGTCTGGCGCTTCGTACTCCAAGGTATTGAAGTTCCTGCTAGGGAGTTTTTGAGGAAGATTGAGGGATTTTAAGCAACAAAATAGGGAGTTCAAGAACAACTTAGGGGGTTTTCGGGAAAACTTAGGGTTGAAAGTTTGGGGTTTATGGTGAGCAAGGGGTCCTGCAGGGTTTCAGGCTGAGGAGGCTCTGTCTGCTACTTCGTTTGGGCTTTTGGGGTTCGTGTATGCGGTTTCAAAGTGGGTCGGGGCTGAAGCTTAGAGCTTTTGGGTTTTTAACTCTATGAGGTGGCAGAGAGTCGGAAGACAGCGAGAGAGAGACTGATGAGTTCCATTCAAACTCAACATCCTAATCCTTCGACCCTGCAACCCTGCAACCCTCAACCCTTAACCCGGAATCCGAAATCTCAAAACCCCAGTTCAACCCTTAAACGCACCAAAGCATTGCAACATGAAAGCCCAGGGCCCACAACATTGTTTAGGGCTTATAGGGTTGAGCTTAGGGTTTAGGGTTTAGGGTTGAGGGTTGAGGGTTGAGGGTTTAGGGTTTAGGGTTTAGGTTTTAGGGTTTAGGGTTTAGGGTTTACGACCCAAAACTCTACAGCCCTAAACCCCCGACCAAACTTCCCAGCCAAGCTGCAGTGTGGGCAGACCTGTGCAAAGGATGTCCTGCATCAAGCGGGTCAAGGGTTTAGGGTTTAGGGTTTAGGGTTTAGGGTTTAGGGCTTATGGTTTGGGGTTTAGGGTTTAACTAAGAATTTAGGGTTGCAGATTCGCGCTTGTACAGAAAATCATGAACTGCTGTCGCGCATTGTTGTATCTACGCCTGAGTCTACACTTACTTTTGGTTTTTGATCTATACTAATTGTTTTGACTCTATACTATTGATGTTACTTAAACTTTTCTTGGCCCGGGGGGGGGGGGGGGGGGGGGGGGGGGGTGGGGGGGCTGCCGCCTTAAGAACTGTCACTCACCCTTAGGAACGCACAGGTTTCAAGAACCATTGAACCCCAAACCCTAATTAACCACTAAACCTGTATGCTAAACCCTAAACCGTGAATTGCAAGAACAAAGAAAAAAGATTACACTTGTACCCGCAAGGCGGTCCACGGTGTACAAGTGGTACACGGTCACGAGGCCGGGGTAGCTCCTCAGGTGTAAGGGTTAGGGTTTAGGGTTTAGGGTTTAGGGTTTAGGGCTTAGGGCTTAGGGCTTAGGGTTAGGGTTTAGGGTTTAGGGTTTAGGGTTTAGGGCTGGGGTTGAAGGTTTAGGGTCTATAGGGTATAGGGTTTAGTATTTAGGAGGGCTGAGGGCTAAGAACCCAAACAGCTTCTGTCCCTAAACCCTAGAAAAGAGACTTCCTCTTTACACCGCAAAAAAAAAGGTCAAAAGCTGAAGATGTAACGTTGGCTTTCGGGCTTTACGTGCTGAGGGTTCTTGGCAACCCTAAACCCTAAACCCTAAACCCTAAACCCTAAACCCTAGACCCTAAACCCTAAACCCTAAACCCTAAACCCTAAACCCTGAACCCTCAGGCCTAAGCGCGGAAGATGATTCAGGAGATCAACCCCAAGGCCTGAGACTTTTGGTGGGTTTCGGCTTAGGGTTGAGGATTTAGGGTTTAGGGTTTAGGGTTTAGGGTTTAGGGTGCAGGGTTTAGGAACACATCAGGTAGCTGTTCTTCCGGTAAGCGCATCCAACTCCAGCACTGTTCGGGACAGCTTCAGGGAAGGTTTTGCCAGGCAGGACGCCGTGTCTCAGAGGCATACAAGGGCACCACAGGGCATGCACACTACAAAGGGGAAACTGGCGTAGCTAGTCAGTTGTAAAACGTAGTCTTAACACCTAAGCTCTACGAAATCAAAATCCTAAACCCTAACCCCCTCTGGGGCAGCCTAACCCCTAAACCCTGAAACTCTTAAACCCTGAAATCCGAAACTCTGACATCCGAAACCCTAAATTCTGAAACCCTAAACCCTAAACTCTAAACCCTAAAGCCTACACCCTCTGGGACAGCAGCTTGGATTGCTCAATCTCCACGGTGTGGTCGAGGAATATCTGCGCAGCAGCGGATGCAGAGCAGCGTCGGCCATATTCTTACATAAATCTTAAGGGGCTTACGAAGCCCTCCCGGGGATAAGGTTTAGGGTTTAGGGTTTAGGGTTTGGGGTTTAGGGTTTAGGGTTTAGGGTTTAGGGTTTAGGGTTTAGGGTTTAGGGTTTAGGGTTTAGGGTTTAGGGTTTAGGTTGTGGGCGGTGTAGGGTTTACTTGGAGCTTCATGGGTACTTATAAGTAAGGTGATAAGTAGGGTAACTGTGGCTTAGGGTACATAGTAATTAATAGAACACTACTTATAAGTAACAAGTGTATACACGCATCCTGCTATGCTAAACCCTAAGCCCTAAGCCCTAAGCCCTAAACAATAAACCCTAAACCCTAAACCCTTTTGAGATGGGATCGGTGAGGAACAGTCCCTGGGTAGCACTTTTTCGGACCCTAAAGCCGGTTAGGGCCCAAGGCCTGCGGAGTACAAGATCAAATAAAAACCCTCCCTGTTTTTTAGAGTTTAGGGTTTAGGGTTTAGGGTTTAGGGTGTAGGGTTTAGGGTGGAGTTTGGGCTCTACAACAAAGAGTACTAGAAACGGAGGTGTGACCTTGGCTGTACACGTTACACTACCGACACAACCCTAAACCCTAAACCCTAGACCCTTTTTGTATGGGCTGTAGGGACGCCTCGTCGCCTCTTTCGATTTCTCAGCCAAGCTGCCAGCTGGCTGGTTCTTTCGTAGGGAATGAGGTGTCCTATATAATCCCTTGAAGGGCATATATAGGGCCCTGATTCAGGGACCTAAACCCTCAACCCTAAACCCCGAAAACTAAACCCTGAACCCTAATTCAGGGACCTAAACCCTAAACCCTAAACCCTAAACCCTAAACCCTGAACCCTGAACCCTGAACCCTGAACCCTGCGCCTGAACCCTGAACCCTGAACCCTGAACCCTGAACCCTAAACTAGATAGGGACCCTAATTCAAAGGGCCAGGGCAACTTGTGGTCAGCTCGTCTGGATGCACGAGTGGCATGGCTGCAAAGTCGCAGCACTTCTCCCCCAGGCCCTCCGGGCCTTCGTCCTCGCCCTCTTCGCCGTCCTCGCCCTCAGAAGGAGCAGCAACCGTGGTAAGCGGAAGGGCCACGCATGTCCAAGTCAGCAGCAGGCCCACCGCCGAAAAAGGAGCCTCCACCACTGAACATAACGCTGGGGTTTAGGGTTTAGGGTTTAGGGTTTAGGGTTTAGGGTTTAGGGTTTAGGGTTTAGGGTTTAGGGTTTAGGGTTTAGGGTTTAACTTAACATAACGCTGGCCGTTTCAAAGGGTGTCACCTGGAAACTCGTAGGGCCTGCTCACTGTGGACTCAGGCCCTGGGGCCTGGCGTAGCGCACTCTGCAGATGCCGTTGCGACAAACAACACTTCCTCTTTGCGTTCGAACCCCTGCCTGTAAGTGGAGCAATTCTTCTCAAAGGGCTTCATGGGCTTCAAGGGCTTCAAGAATCTTTGTCAAGGGCCAAGGGTAAGCTACCTGTACAAACCTCGTATACACTCACAGTAATCTCTCAAGAAAACCCTACCCCCTGCCTAAACCCTAAACTTTAAACCCTAAACCCAAACCCTAAACCCCACAAAAGGTCCCGCCTCATCCACCACTCTGAGCGGAGTTTTGTAGGAGGGATCCTGGCGTTGCATGGGCGCCGAGAGCCCGGAGCCTCAACCCAAACCCTCAACCCTAAGCCTGAATGCCTCATCTGAGGGTGCCAAGGACACTGAACCCCAAACCCTAAACCCTAACCCTAAACCCTAAACCCTAACCCCTAAACCCTAAACCCTAAACTCTGGCGCCTTCATTCAAGTCCTGGGTTTAGGGTCTTAAGGAATTAGGGTCTGAAGGGTCTGAAGGGTTCAGGGTGGGTCTGAGCGCCTACGGTCTCGGACACCTCGGGCAGTCCATGTCGCAGGTATAAAGGGGCTTTCAGCGGATGATGTTGGCAGCAAATTCACATCTATTCCGGTGTCAGGGAGTGCTTAGGGAACAACCCTCATGCCCGAAACGCGAGAAGCGGGCGTTTGAGGTTTGTACACGCTTTGGGGGTTTAGACAGCCTACCCTAAACCCCGAAACCGAAAACAAAGTTCGGGATCAAACGCGTCGGGAGCGGGCGTAGGCTGGCGCTGGATAGCCCGGCCTCTCTTGAGTAGCTCTTGCGGAGGCCCCTGAACCCTAAGACTTAGGGTTTGGGGTTCAGGGTCGAGGGTTTTGGGTTTCGGGCCGGTCCAACATCTCGCAGTTCGGCCATGTGAGCAAAGTGTCGCAATCCCAGAGCATCTTAGTAACCCATGGCTATAGGTTTTGTTGGGTTACTAGACCCAGGAGTAACCTACCAACACAAAGGGCACCCTTCTTGGGGTTTCAGGGGATTACAAGGGAGCCCCAATCCTAACAAAGGAAATGAGGGCCTACTCCGGGTCCCAGGTTAAGTAAGGGCGTTGAGGGAATTTGGCGTCCTTGTTATAAGGGAAGCCTACTATTTTGGGGTCTAGGTTATGGGTCCCTTATTTTCGTAAACTCCCACATAGGTTTTCTTGGGTTAAGTATGTAAGGGCATTGAAGGGAAGGGGGGGGGGCACTTGGTACGGCGGGGGTTCATGGGGACGACTGTGAGCAAGGCACCCTCAATTCTGCCAAGCTCCGCTTGGCTACTTGAGGTTCGAAACCAAACTCGGTTTAGGGCTTAGGGTTTTGAACAACAAGGCTGCCTTGAGCCGTGGAAGGGAAAGACACTCTCTGACTTAAACCCTAAACCCCAAACCCTACAAACCCTACAAAAACTACAAACCCCAAGCATCCCCGAGCGACGGCCCCCTGAGCCGGCGACTGGATCGTGGTCGAGGCGTCGACAACTCTTTGCATCTCCTCCCCATAGTTGGAGTGTCAGGGTTTAGGGTTTAGGGCTACTTGGAGTCTGATCATTGGGGTTATATGTACCCATGAACCTCCCCCTGCTCTCTAAGGGTAGTTGCAGGGTCCCTTATAGTATGGGACGTTTAGGGTTTAGGGTTTGGGGCTTAGGGTTGAGAGTTTAGGGTATCTCCTCCCCATGCTCTCAAATACTCAAGGTAGTCGAACTTGCACCCCTAAGGATGCGCCCCTGAGAGGTTTCGCAACCGTTATCCGTCCAACCCAGAACCCTAAACCCTAAAAAGCTTGACATGTGAAATCTGTAATCCTCACCTTAGCGGCTTTAGGGCTTAGGGTTTCTTCTTGGGGTGTTCAGGGAAGCCCTAGCCCCTAAACCCCGAACCGTAGACCCTAAACCCTAAACCCTAAACCTTAAGGCTCCTAACTCCCCCCCCTAAAGCCCATGACTGTCCCGCAGGCCTCCTCAGTCACGGCTCGTCTGCACACCTGGGTTTAGGGTTTAGGGTTTAGGGGTTACCTGGCAGCAGACTTCATGTTCATAATCCCTGAAGGGGTTTAGGGTTTTGGGGTTGAGGGTTGAGGGTTTAGGGCGCCCTTAAAACCCCTAAAGCCCCCCCCCCCCCCCAAAACAAAAAAAAACTAAAACTAAATGAACCCCTAAATACTCGCCCCAACCCTTTTGGGTTCCCATTATAAGGCAGCACCCTTTAAAAGGGAGGGGCCCTAATTTAGAGAACTACCCCAATATTAGCCCTAAACCCAAAACCCAAAACCCTAAACCCCAAACCCGAAACCCTACACCCCTAAACCCCTAAACCCCTAAACCCCAAACCCAAACCCCAAACCCTAAACCCCAAACCCGAAACCCGAAACCCCAAACCCTAAACCCTAAACCCTAAACTCTAAACCCGAAGCTGGCGCCTCGTGGAGGTTCTCCTCCAAAGGCATCTCGCTCAGCTGAAGTTTTTCAGAGAGCAAGCCTTGCCACCGTTGAGGGCCAATAGGGGGGCTAGCAGGGGTTTCGGGTTTAGGGTTTAGGGTTTAGGGCTTAGGGTTTAGGGCTTAGAGTCTAAGGGATTTAGGGTGTAGGGTCTAGGGCTAACTAGGGGTAGGGTTTATGGGATTCCAAACTCCATGCCTTGCAAAAAGAAGCGCGCAATGATTCTGCACAGTTAGCATGGGTCTTGTGCGTCATGATTTCAGCACTAAGCCCTAAAACCTAAACCCTAAACGCCATGCTGTTCTGACGGTCGAGACTCACACCGCTTTGCCCAGGCTTTGCCGCTGCTGCGCGCTTGAGACTCTTAGGAACTGAGACACGCACACACGCACACACGCACACACGCACACGCACACGCACGCGCGCGCACACAACCTACACAGCTGAGACAAAGACTCTGCGAGCCCCCAGCTACACCCCAAACACTGTGCCCTATACACCCTCTACACCCTATACACGCTATACACCCTATACCTCCTATAAACCCTAAAACCCCTATACGCCCTGTACACCCTAAGCCCTAAAGGGGTCTATAGGGGTTTAGGGATTGGGCATTGGCTCGTTAGGATTTTCGGCGTTTAGGTATGTGTGTTCTGGTACTGTTCCAGGTTAGACCGTTAGGGCAAGGGGCTTGGAGAGTGGCAAAGGCTTCTAGTTTAGTGTTTAGTGTTTAGGGTTTTAGCGTTTGGGGTTTTAGGACTGGCAACTCAGGATTGTAAGTGGAACCGAACTCTTCCCACCCTCCAACACCTAGCAGGACATGTCGGACATGTGCGAGCCCAACACTCACAGCAACGAGACCACGCACCCCAAAGCCCTGAACCTCAAAGCCCTCAAACCAGACCCACAACCCTAACCCTCCCACCCTACTAAAGCGCCACGGAGCTCCCAAACCCCAAAGCCCTAAATGAAACAACTCTAGACCCTAAAGTCCTAAGCCTAAAACTCTGTAGAATTACCCGCCCCCAAGCACCGCTTCAGATTCCCAACCTCTTTCGGGGTACTTGCAACCCCAAAACACCAAATCCTAAACACTGACTCAAGCCCCCAGCCCCCGTCTTCTGTGTTTCGTTAACGAGAGCCGGGCCATTGCGGGTGCGGGTCCGGCCGTCCCCGTACTGCTGCCAGGTGTTGAACCTCAGTTTACGCAAGATCTTGGGAAGAGATGGAGTTAGAGTGTTCCTGGGACTCTCCTTTAGTCGTAACTACCCTTTAATTATAGTAGGTAGAACCCACAAACTGTAGGTATCTTACTATTATCTGCAGTTTCGTAGCAATTGCCCTTTGAATATAGTAGGTATAACCTGTTAATGGTATAGCAGCATTACAAAATAATAGTTTATTAGACAATGAAATATTATATTTATTCAGTCAACTGTAGGTAAAGAGAGTCCCAGGTCGGCTTCGGGCTTGCAAGGGTATGATGGGTTGGGCCTCTCATTGCCGCAACAGCAGTGGCAGCCAGGAGAGTGCATGGGACTCCCTTCAAAGAACTAAAGGAGGGACCTTAGGGGTTGCTTAGGGGCTACTTAGGTATATAGGGACAATGTACGGTATACATAGGGGTTTTGTAGGGGAAAGAGATTAAGGGTCCCTTCTTTAGTCTAGGGGTCCCTCCTTACACCCCTTACTGCATGGGACTCCCTTTAACGGAACCCTAAACCCGTTAACGTAGCCCGAAACCCCGAGCCCTGAACTGTACCTGGGGACCCTCTTTACCTCGAGTTTTATGGGTTATACCTACTAAGGTTGTTTTTTACTACTAAACTGCAGGAAAATTGAGTCCCAGGTAACCTCCAAAAAAGACATACGGCGTATGGAGCTGCGGGCCGTAAACCCGCAACCCTAAACCCTAAACCCCAAACCCCAAACCCTAAACCCTAAACCCTAAACGTGGGTTCGCGGACCGGGAATCTCGTCTAAAGTCGCCTTGGCCCGGCCGGAGCGTCAGGGGCTGATTCCCCTCCTGTACATATCCCCGCCAGCGATCCTGAATCTGTTGCTACGTTTTCCTTTTTTGTTGGGGGGGGAGGGGGGGTGGCTAAAGTTCACTAAGAAGCCTTGAAGCTTTGGTTTAGGGTTTAGGGTTTAGGGTTTAGGGTTTAGGGTTTAGGGTTTAGGGTTTAGGGTTTAGGGTTTAGGGTTTAGGGTTTAGGGTTTAGGGTTTAGGGTTTAACCCTAAAACCCCAAAACTCCTCAAAGCCCCAGAAGCCCTGGGACAGCCAGGCGGCAGAAAGATGCCACGAGAGTAGTTCTCCACTGAGGAGACCTGCCAGCAACTTCCCGCGGAAGACCCACGATGGTCATCCTAAACCCTATAAACCCTAAACCCTAAACCCTGAACCCTAAACCCTAAACCCTAAACCCTGAACCCTAAACCAAAAACCAAAAAACCCTCAACCCTAAATCTTAAACCCTGGACGTAGAGTAGGATGTCGGGGGTTAGGATGTCGGGGTTTGTTAGGACTTACAGGATTATAGGGTCTAGGGGCTGCTCTAAACCAGAAGCCCTAAGCCCTAACTTCGGAGGGGATGGTTTGGGGGAGGCCCTAAGTCTAAAGCCCAGACCCTAGTTACACCCTCATAAGAGTTCAGTTAAACCCTGAATGGAGCTCTGAAGATTTGCAGACTTGACCCCGACAACGACAAAGTCTGAGTATTCTATGCCCGCTGAAGCCCTCAACCCAATGTTGGTGTAGGTGAGGGCTCCGAAGAAGCGGATACGTTCTTGCATCCTTCTTTCGTGTATAATGGAGGTGCCCAATCATCTGGAAACAGTGCTTTCCAAGGGTGTAGGGCTTGTAGGGTTAGGCCTCCTCGAAACCCTAAACCATATAAACCCTAAACCCGAAACCCTTGACCCAGTTGTCGCATAAGGGCTGGGTTGCCAGCTCATCAGTTTCGTAGTGTCAAGCTTGAGATAAGCCGCGAACGGCGGAACCGCCAGCGGCCTCAGGCCCAAAACTTTCCAGCATCATGGCTCCCTTAGGAGAGCACGAGCCAGTCGTTCGAGCTTGGAGGCCAACGCATTGTCATTTAGAACGGCTGACCCGGGTGATGAGAGCTGACGGCCAATAGGGCGCTCATGCCGGAATAGGAAACGTAGGTGAGCGCCAGCTTCCCTGCCTCAGCGTAGGGGCCAACGGTCGAGGCCCGGAGCGACTGAGCGGACGCAAGACAGATCTCTCTCTGATTGCGCACCCTAAACCCGAAAGCCTAACCCTAAACCCCCCAAGCACTCCCTCAACACTTTACCGGCTCGTGGCGGTAGACTCTCAGCCGCGATCGCCAGGCACCGCACCCTGCAACCCCAACAACCCAACTCTGAGGGTAGTTACATGGTCCCTTAGTACGGGCCCTTACACCCTTCTACCCTGTACAAATTCAGGGCCCATACATCAGAACCCTTGAAAGGAGGTTAGGGCCCATGTAGCTACGCTTTAATCAACCCGTATCCGAGAACCCTACAAGTAGGAGCCCTTAGTTTCAAGTAGAGGCATCGTCGGCCCCCCCTCGAACGGAGCGTTTAAGTTGACAGTCCCTGAGCTTCACTTGGTTCAGAGTTTAGGGTTGAAGGTTTAAGGGGTTAGTGGTTTAGGGGGTTGAAGGTCTAGGGCTTTCCTTGCAAACTCTCGAACTAAGCCTCAACCCATGACCTTCCCCTGTTCGCTGGCCCACCTTTGCTCGAAGCACATGTGTGACTCGGACCTGGGCAGGCCCTAAACCCTAAACCCTAAACTCTAAACCTACCCTAAACCTAAACCAAACCCTATAGACCCTGTAAACCCTACAAACCCTGTAAATCCTATAAACCACAAGCCCTACAAACCCTATGAAATCCTGGTCGAAATCCTATAAACCCCAAGAAAACCTATGAAACCCTGCGAAACCTTGCGAAACCTTAGGGGCTACTATAATCCCTATTAAGGACGGTTAGTTTTAAGGGGGAACATCCCAGCCCCTAATGCAAGAATACCTCAAACCGTGAACCCGAAAACCTCTAGCCTGCTGAACCAAGAGTCTCAAAACCCGAAACCCAAAAAACGCCCCCGCCAAACCCCAACAGAAACCCTGAACCCGACCCCCCCCCCCCTATTAACCACAAACCACGAACCACGAACCACAAACCACAAACCCCAAACCCCAAACCCCAAACCCCAAACCCCAAACCCTAAACCCCAAACAAAACCCTCAACCCCTTACCCCCAACCCCTAACCCCCAACCCCCCCCCCCCCCCCCCAAAAAAAAAAAGAAGAAAAAGTCTTCACCCACCCTGGGGAAGAGGCGGGCGCTCGCTTCCCTTCAGGAAGGCGCCAAATCTGCAGAAGCGGTTTAGGGTTTATAGGGTTTAGGGTTTACCGCTGGCGTAGGGGGTTTCAGGGGTTGCTTGCGAACTCCCAAACCTCGTGTAGGGGCAAGGTAGAGTTCAGGGGTGTCTTTGCTTGGGGCGCCCTGGGGGAATTTGGACGCCCGGGTGTCGGATGCAGGGTTCAGGCATCAGGGTGTGAGACGATATAGGGGGTAAGAGTTCAAGGAAAGGCCCGAAACCCTAAACCCTAAACCCTAAACCCTAAACCCTAAACCCTAAAGTTCGCGCCTAAGGGTTGATCGTGCTCGGGCCTGCGAGACTATGGGGCGGGGGGAGGGGGGGGGAGGGGGGGGGAGGGAGGGGGATCTACTTCGGGGGTATACAGCTTAACTATGAGGCTTCTGGATTGTTCTCTATCCTCTCTTCGGTTTGGGATTTGGGGTTTAGGGTTTAGGGTTTAGGGTTTAGGGTAGATCCTCTCTTCTCTTTGCTGTTGTCCTCTTCGAAAATGTAAGATCTCCTTTCGCAACCTGGCAGAGCATGCATGACCGGGTACCTTGAGTTGTTCAAGAGACCACGGCCTTGGGCCCCGAAGCCCAAACTCTAAGGGTCCATGTACCTTCTGATAATAATAATAATAATAGTTCTTATTATTATATACTTAGGCCCCAAAGTCCGTATATAAGGTACATGGACCCTTAGGGAGATGCACAAGCAGCATGACAGCGCTGGCACTCTATGTCGACAGCGAAAACGCATGCCACAAGTGATGCAAGTTTGTACTGTCCTTTCTATAGGAACCCCGCTAGCCATCGAGGTCATCACGCCACCCTAAACCCTAAACCAGAGACGACCTTCAGCGACAGTACGAACGATCTGTGAATTCCGGACGCGTGGCCGCAGGCAACTACTATGCTAAACCCTAAACCCTATAAACCCTAAACCCTAAAACCCATGCCGTTTGCTTCGACTGCAGCACGCATAAAAAGTCACCATAAATTCGGCCGTTGTGCGGCCTAAGAATCCTTGCATCGCTCCTTGGCTGCTGCAGTTCCTGCCTCGGTTCCTGTGCCTGTTGGGGTTTAGGTTTAGGGTTTAGGGTTTAGGGTTTAGGGTTTAGCGTTTAGGGTTTAGGGTTCAGGGTTTAGGGTTAACACCATCCAACCCTAAGGGTCCATGTACCCACATAGGACATATTTGGGCCCTAAAGCTACTGTGTAGGAACCCTTTTGAGGCCCAAGTCTATACATGGAAACGTGGCCCTTTGGGCAAACAAACACACTGGTCCAAGGAAAATCCGAGCGAACAACAAGCATATCGAAACGTAGGCTGCAGCTAGGACTGAAGAACACAAACGCTCTGCAAATAAACAGCCACAGTGACAAACACAGGGGTATGTGCCAGTAGGTGCACAAACAGTCTCTTCAGCGCACCATTGCAAACAACAATGCGCTGCAGCTGGGGCAAACGGCCAGCTAATCACCCTTCACAGTACATTTAAGCCCCCTTGAGCTGCGAGTATTCGAAATGTGTCTTCAACTTGCTTTTTGCGTTGAAGTAGATCTTAGAAGCTTGGAGAGAGGGTGGGAGGGAGGGCGAGGGGATGGGGGAGGGGGATGGTGGAGGGGGCAGGGGGGAGGGGAGGCGGAGGCGGAGGGAGGGGGGGAAAGGGAGGGGGAGGGAGAGGGAAGGGGAGCCACATTTTTTTTGTTGAATCTAAACCCTCAACCCTAAACGCAACACTGTAAATCTTGGGTTGTTTGCGCCTCACAGCCACAACTGGCACACCTGCCCTCAATGGCGACGCGCATGCTGCTTCAATAATTGTAATTACAACGGGGTTTTGTAGGTGGATTTCATGACGTGATTTTTTGTACAAGGATTGTAAGTGGACGATATGGGTCTCTCTTTAACCGTAAACCCTAAACCCTAAACTCCCTAAACCCTAAACCCTAAACCCTGAACCCTAAACTCCCTAAACCCTAAACTCCCTAAACCCTAAACTCCCTAAACCCTAAACCCTAAAACCTAAACCCTTTTGGGCTCCTGTACTACTATGACTCGCGCAGTAGTACTGGAAAAGCAGCGCATGCATGCTCTGACTGCAGCTCGCACAAAGAGACGCATCGAATTCGGCCCTGCGGCCGTAGAACCCCCCTAAGGGTCCATGCCAGGTACCTTAAGGTTTAGGGTTTAGGGTTTAGGGTTAGGGTTCTATATACTTGGGCCCTTTTTGCTACTATGTCGTAGGCTACATGGACCCTCTGGGTCCTGCATTGGATTGCATTGCCCTGCTGCACCTCCCGCCTCTGCTCCCGACAAAGCGCCGGGCTTTTCAGTCTAACTCGAAGGCTTCGCAGGCGAAGAGCATGGGCCTGAAAAAGTCGTTCTTGATGCGCCCGGCGTCCTTCTCGAAGTACTTGGCAAAGTTCGCCTTATAGCCCTGCGTCACCGCAGGAACCACCTCCTTAGGGACTCATCAAGGCCCAAAGAGCAAATAGTTGAACTCTGGGTACATGATTCCCAGCTCTACTATTTGCTTAAGACCCCCAGACATGAAATTACTCATCCCTATATTTGCCCATATAAGGAAGAATCTATTTTCTTGTTTGGGGAGTTCTTAAGCAAATAGTAAGAGTTTCCTGACATCCAGTACGTACCTCATTGACATCGCAGCCTAAATTTAAACGCCCAAAAAAACCCTATAAGCCCTAACTGTCATAGAGGGCCTGTCGCAAGGTACCGGGTTATGATAAGCCTCTAACACCTCCCTCCCCCCCCCCCCCAAACCCTAAACCCCAAACTCTAAGGCTTCCACCCCAAGCTAACGCCCTAACCCCTAAACCCATACACCTCATACCCCTACATGGTACACTGTACGGAGCGTTCTGAAGCCTAAACCCTACACTCCTTGGAAATCCTGAGCAGCATAGAGGTTTTGTAGGGTGTGTAGGGCTTGTGGAGTTTGCAGGGATTGCAGGGTTTGTAGCATTTTTGTTGGGTACCCTTTTAAAGAATCCTGTAATAAAGTTTATGATATTTTCAGATATGTTTTGGGGTACCCCCCCCCCCATTTTTGGTGTTTGTAATGTTTGTAGGGTTTAGGGTTGAGGGCCCAGGCACCAGGATCTTCTTCGAGTGGTAACGGTTCAGCTGGCGCCCGTGGAAGGCCAACGCAAACGCCCGAGCCGCACGAGAGGATGTGAAGTTGATGAAGGCCTACTTGGAGGTTCATGGGTACCTATGACCCCAAGTATAAGTCTACTTACAGCCTACTTAGAGGACTTAGATGGGTACTTATGACCCCAAGTATAAGTCTACTTACAGCCTACTTAGAGGACTTAGGGGAATACTTTTTTTTCTACTTCTTGCCTACTTAGAGGACTTAGGGGGGCTTATAAGTATGTACCGTTATAATTGGGGTTAGAAGTATCCATGAACCTCGCCCAAAAAGACTTAGGAGGTACACAAGGGATCTTAGACATGCTTTAGCCACTAAACCCTAAAGCCCAAACCCTAAACCCTTAAACCCTGACAGGGGAACTATCGGGATCCAAGAGGCATATCCGCGATTTCGCTTGCTCGAGAAGTCCATGGGGAGGTAGAAGAAATCCTGGGTTTAGGGTTTAGGGTTTAGGGTTTAGGGTTTAGGGTTTAGGGTTTAGGGACCGGGGAACCCTGGAAAGTTCTTCAGGATAAGCTGTAGCCCTACCCTAAACCTTAAACCCCAAACTCTAAACCCAAAAACCCTAAACCCAAAAAGCCCAAATCCTAGACCCTAAACCCTGAATCTGTATAAGGGGGAACAGCAAATCTCCTCCCAAGATCCTGCCTAGAATCGAACATTTGGTCGAATCCGGCGCTGATGACATCGTGCAACATTTCCTCGCAGGTATATCGGTTGGGGATGTTGCGGAGCATGATGGTCGTCTTGCCGTCTTCCTTGGTAGCCCAGTACACAATAGTGTGACAAGTGCACCTTTTTTTGGTTGCTTACTTTGCAAGGGAACCTTGAACCCTAAACCCTAAACCCTAAGCCCTAAACCCTAAACCCTAAACCCTAAACCCTACACCGAAAAAAGGAAAAATGGGCACCACTGGGCGAGCAAGCATCAAAGAGGCTGGCCACCCGCTGCGCGTCCATGGTGATGGGCTGCTGCAGCGTCTGCTCCGGGTTTCCGGCGCGTCCTTCGCCAGGTTTTAAGGTTTAGGGTTTAGGGCTAGACTCAGGAGTAACCGAGGAATAAGAAGGGTGCCCTTTTTGGCTTTAAGGGGATTATAAGGGACCCTAAAGCCCTAAACCCTGAACCCTAAACCCAAAAAAAAGGAAACAAGGGCCTACTCCGGGTCCTTGTAGCCCTAAACCCTAAACCCTAAACCCTAAACCCTAAACCCTAAACCCTAAACCCTAAACCCTCTCTGGGTCCTTGTTGATCCTGCTGAACCAAGCCAGGAGCTAAGGCCTTACGCCAGTTGCACTGTCGAGTCTCCTCTGAAGGGCTGACTCCGAAGTTGGGTTTAGGGTTTAGGGTTTAGGGTTTAGGGTTTAGGGTTTAGGGTTTAGGGTTTAGGTTTAGGGTTTAGGGCTTGCCCGACCTTCGAATGTTGGAATTTCGGAGCATCCGGTGGCTGCAGGAAAGGGTCCAAGAGCAGCTGAGGTTTTGTCTTGGTGACAGCCTCCACGGGAACTGCAACGTTAACGACCGCGTAGCCTGCTGGCTGTGGCAGTTGAGGCGCCTTAGCACACTCGCAAGGATACATTGAGCTCGGCGACATAGCCAAGGCCGTCTCCTGAAAGGGCGCCACCGCATAGTGATCCATGTAGCCGTGCGACGGCTGTGCGGCAAACACGGGCGCAGAGAGTATGGGCTGGCAGGAAGGCTGGCAGTCCTTATCAGTAGCCCCAGTGACCATACTACAACAAGGGCAGCCTTCTTTTGCGTGCAAGCTATATGAAAAAAAGGAGCCCCCTAGAACCCCCCAAACAAAAGGGCAAAAGGCTACCGCTGGGCTACCAAGATTCGGAAGGCTGCCACGCAGCTTCCGTCAACCTTCCCAGGAGGTGCGGTACTGGCTCCGCATACTCCGGGTTCTGGGTCATGGCGGCTAAGTTGGAGAGAAAGAGCAACCAGGATTCAAGGAAGCAGCTTTGGGAGACTCGAGCCCAGATGAGTGAAGGCTTTTCATGGGGACGTTTGAACCCTACACCCTAAATCCTAAACCTTAACCCTAAATCCTAACCCCAAAACCCTTAACCCTAAATCCTAAACCCTTAACCCCCCCCCCGCCCCACGCCAGCTGAGCCTTAACAAAAACCTCCCTACTGGGAGGTTCAGGGTACACATAACCCCAATTAGAACTGCACTTATAAGCACCCGAAGTCCGTTAAGTCCTCTAAGTAGGTTGTAACTAGACTTGTACATGGGGTGATGAGTCATAAGTACCCATGAACCTTCTCTGGACCCCGACTCCACGATCTCTCTGAGCCCTGACCCCAAGAAAAGCCCCCTAAAATTACCCAAGCCCGAATGGGTTTTGGGTTTAGGGTTAGGGTTTAGGGTTTAGGTTGCGGGTTTATCCTAGCTAGTCCGGGTCCGAGCACAATTGCCTGAGAAAGGGGCCGGGTCTCATGCGCACGTGAAGGCTCATGGGTAGAAAGTGAGAGAGATGTCTATGATATATATATATATATATATATATACATATATATATATATGTATATACATATATTATATATGTATATATATATATATATATATAGATTATGGTCATTTCTCAAAATATGGTCCCGGTTGGGCTATTGTGTATATATACACGACCATACATATAGTCGGCCAGACAGACGTAACTTGTTAACTACCCACAATCGGCAGGCGGCTTAGGGCTTAGGGTTTAGGGTCAGCTTTAGAGGTGAAAAAAACACGGTTGCCCTACTGATAACCTACCTACCCCCCCCCCCCCCCCCCCGCCCCTCGGATCCTCCACCCCACCCACCCACCTCACCCGACCCCAAACCCCAAACCCCAAACCAGTTCTCACCCTAGCGGCGACCTCAAAGCCCGCTTCGTCGAGCTTGATCTCTTTCCAGAAGCTCTTCACTTCCTGCAAACTTCCGTTCGCGGAGCCTAAATCCTACACCCCAAACCTAAACCGTAAACCCTAAACCCTGCTGACCTCTGAACTCTGGACCTTCCAGAATAGCTCCCCAGCACCCCCTCCCCACTGTCTTGCTGCCCTAAACCGTAAACCCTAAACCTTAACCCTGTAAACTCTAAAGCTTGCTCAGTTGTAGCATGTTCAGCTGAAATCCGGAAGTCGAGCGCGGCTTTCGGGTTTAGGGTTTTAGGGTTTATGGGGTTTAGGGTACAGGTGACCGTTTACAAAACCCTGTACAAAATCCTCAACCCTAAAGAACTCAAAGCTTAGCAGATTGCCGGCTGCGCAAGAATCCTACAAGACGGCTTTTTGCGCAGTAGCTTCAAGGAAACCTAGGTCTTCAGTTCCTCATCGGCAGTCGAACCTGCTATCCCGCAAGAGCACACAACCAGAAGCCGTGAGGAGGCGAATTTGGCACGAAACATAACTACAGCAAACCCCAAAAAGTTGGAAACCTTTTTCAGGACAAAGAGTGCTGGGATTCCCTATACTTTACTCTTAGGGATTGAGGCTATTGAGTCTCCAACTTTCTGGCTTCTAGTATAGGATAGCCCTTAAGACCCTCTGAAAAACATTCCTGAATATGATCCTTCTCAACCCAATGAGGGAAAAATGTCCCAAGGGCCTACCTAGATAAACACAAAACCCTCTGAAAAATATTCCGAAAATAATCACCTCAAACCTTATTCGGGTAAATTCTAAACTCAAACATAGGCCTACCCAGAAACACAAAACAGAACAAAGTACGGCAAGCCATCTCCTGCGGCCCGGTTTAGGGTTTAGGGTTTAGGGCGTTTAGGGTTTAGGGTTTAGGGTTTAGGGTTTAGGGTTTAGGGAATGCTTTCAACGCAAACTCCCCACCAGGCCCCTCAGCCACCCAACTCTGGCCGCACAGCCCTGATACCATCGAAACCAATCACTCTAGTGAAACCTCAACCCTAAACCCTAAATCCTAACCCTAAACCCTAAGGTACGCAGTCCCTTGCCACAGCCCCCCAAAGTGGCTTCTGTATGTCAGACACACCAAAAAAAGCACACTTCCGACCCTTTTTCACCCTCAAGCCCCAGCCATGCCCTAAAGCCTACACCCCAAACCCCAAACCCTCTTGTAATGCCCGTCCTTGGTGTTGCCTTTTCCCCAGGAGCTCGTGTCAATACCTGGCGCAGATGCGGTGGTGCGGACGCTCGCGGCGTAGCACAAAGGCCAAGGATCGCAGCCCAGACCCCAAACACTCGACCCTAAGTATGCTAGGATGGAGGGTTTAGGGTTTAGGGAAAAGGGGATTGGGAATAAGTGCTTCCTCTTGGTCCTAGCTAAGTATCCTACAAGGTCTATGTGATGCTGGCCAGTCAGGGTTTAGCGATGAGGACTACTTTTAGACTCAAAATCCTGCAGGGATTGTGCAGGATAAAGTGCGGCCAGACCGAAAAAATCGAGGAGAGGCTGCCGGACGAGCCGACTACTCAGCAGCCGGAAGCAGCATGCGTAGACTCGAAACCCTCAACTGCAAACCCTACCAAAGGCCCCACTTGGAGGCTCAGGGTACTTGTACCCCCCCCCAAATTACAACTGTACTTCTAAGTCCCTAGACATAGAATTGGGGCTATAAGTACCCAGATGAACCCCCTAAGCCCTGAACCCTAAACCACTTATATATGGAGTTATAAGTAGCCATGACCATCCAAGTAGAACCCAACATGCTTGCTGATGCGCAGGCCTTCCTTTTGCAGAAGGCTTGACAAGTCCTCCAGATCTAAGGGTAGTTACATGGTCCCTTAGTATGGGCCCTTAAAAGGGGACCCCTTGCATACCCCTATATACCCTATACAAATTAAGGGCCCGTACATCAAGACCCATTAAAGGAGGTAAGGGAGCATGACCCATGAGAGCACCTTTAGACTAGACACACAAGAACCTGACTACGAGGGGCCTCAGGGTCTTCTTGGGTATACCGGTCCGCATATGGGGGTTGCGGAAATTAGGGCACCTTATTGGGGTCCTTATTATAAGGGAATTTAGGGTCCCCAATTTTCGTAAAACCCCCATACAGAGGAATCGTGGTGTAGAACACCCCACCGGACTTTGCTGCGCAGCAAGCATGAACAGAGAGGACGGAGCATTCAGCAAACTTAGCACTTTGTGATTCCTGTTTGTGAGTGTACATGCCACGATGAGACGTCGCACAAACCATGAAGGAACCCTTGCAATGCTTTACCGAACTCTCCCTCAACCCCCTGATAAAACCGAAGGCAACTGGTGCTTTCACAACACACAAGGATACTAAGGAGACTAGAGAGAAGCCATCCAAAGCCGGGTGCACAAGACCTGTACTCGGAATCGCTTGGGGAAAGCTGAGGCGCGATCGGAACCCTTTCAGAAAAAGTCGAAGAGCCTCCAACCCTAAACCCTAAACCCTGAACCCTAAACCCTGAACCCTAAACCCTAAACCTTAAACCCTAAACCCTGATGTGTTTTGGGTCTGGGTCCTCTGCGGATGGCACCTGCTTCAAGGAAAAGACCTGCAGGAGGGTGACACATCACTTGCTGGCGCGACAAGGTGTTAACCAACCCTAAACCCTCAACCCTGAACCCTGAACCCTGGGAGGATCCAAAAAAGAACCCCAAAATAGCCGCCTTTCCTCCTATTGGGTCATGATGAGTCTTTTGGGGATGTCTACCGTCGTACATGTCGTATATTCCTTCAAGTATAAAGAACCCCTCCCCCCCTCTCCCCCCCCCTCCCCCTCCCCTCCCCCTCCCTCCCCTCCCTCCCCCTCCCCTCCCCCTCCCCCTCCTCCCCCTCCCCTCCCCCTCCCTCCCCCTCCCCTCCCCTCCCCTCCCCCTCCCCCCTCCCCCCTCCCCCTCCCCCCTCCCCCCCCTCCCCCTCCCCCCCCACCCTCCCCCCTCCTCCCCCCCCCCCCTCCCCTGCCCCTCCCTCCCCCTCCCCTCCCCCCTCCCCCCTCCCCTCCCCCCTCCCCCCCTCCCCCCCCCCCATTGCCTAAGGTGCAGAAACCCGTTTTTTTTCTCCATCTTAAGCCTCACCAGTTTGAGGCAGGCTCGCGAAAGCATGGGTAGCAAGCACCGTCAATGCCGTCTCTCCCACACCTTTGCGATTTTTTTAAGATTATATTTCATGGGTTTCCTTACTCCCCACTTGTTTTCCCCTCTTAGGAAGCCTTAATTGGGCTTAATTACCCCTAACTGGCCTTAATGATGGGAAGAACCTAGATAGTATAGAAGGGGGCAGTAGGGGAACCCTGAAAGGGTTTATGGGGAGTTGAAGGGCTACTGGCTGAGTTGTCTGAGGGAAGCGCATGACACCCAGAAAAGGATCCCTACACCCTAAACCCTAAGGCCTCAATGCTAGGATGGCCCTTAAACCCATCTGCAAAATATTCCTGCAATATGATCCTCTTAAACCCAACAAGGGAAAAGATGAGATATCCCAAGGGCCTACCTAGTCAAGGTTACCTGCTCAGCACCTACCCTAAACCCGAAACCCTAAGCCCCGAACCCCACCAAGCCGAAAGCGAATTCCGGGTCACGCCCGGGGCCTCTTCCACGACGCTCCCCGTGTACGGCTCAGGTAGGCGCACTTCGCCTCAAAACCGAAAATGAAATCAGGTTAGGGTTTAGGGTTTAGGGTTTAGGGTTTAGGGTTTAGGGTTTAGGGTTTAGGGTTTAGGGTTTAGGGTTTAGGGTTTAGGGTTTAGGGTTTAGGGTTTAGGGTTTAGGGTTTAGGGTTTAGGGCTTAGTGTTTAAGATTCAGGGATGGCTTCTGCTGCTGGGATTTTTTTTGCCCCCACACCCTAAACCCTAAACCCTAAACCCTAAACCCTAATCCCTACACCCAAAACACTAACACCTAAACCCTAAGCCCTGAACCCTGAACTTGAACCCTAAACGAAACGTATAAGGCTACAGACGGTTTAGGGCTTGGAGTT